GGTCTATCGATTTTAAAGTGCGAAATAACCGATGATTTTAAACCCGCAGCCTTTGCCACGCTGACCCATTGATTGTTTAGAAATTTGTTTAGAAACAGAAAAAAACAGAAAACAGAAAAATGTTTAGAAAAAAAAAAAAGAGACGATTTTGAAGTGAAAGTCAATATCCTTGCACAGGAGTCCAAAACACCAGCGCGAAAACTCCTTGAGGCTTTTTGGATCAATGCCAAAAGCCCTACAATGAATAGCAGGGATGAATGCCCGGAGGTCATACGCGACCTGATCTCGTACGTTCGCATCGATTTTTGATGTGGGATGGTGCAGTCGTCAACCACATGCGACTATAATCAGCTGTTCTAAACTTCCTCATTGGAAGTCACGAAAAAGCGGTGGGTTTTTCGAGAAGTTGTTGATTGTGTAATTGCCGGAGAGTTCTTCGTCCTTTTGTAAGTGTCATTGAAGCGTTTGGCCTAGTAGATTGTATATCAGCATACCCTTCCAGGCTCTGAAGAAGGCGATACTGCCGAAACGTCAGCTAGCGTTGTATTGTATTGTGTTTTCTTTATGGAAGTAAATGTATGCTGTTTAAAAACCTCGTGATTGCTGAGCAAGAAAACGACACATAAAAAATAGTTTTAAAAAAAGTTAGAGCGTCATCGTTATTCAGTTAATTCGGTAAAAACTCACTTGCGTCTATGTACACCATGGCGATTTCTGAACTATAGCATAAGTTCCTAAAAACGACTATTTTACGAAGGATTAGATAGCAATTAAACGAGATACTGCGGAGAAACGTGACCCTGAGAAAAAATTACGTACGGAAATGGATATAAGCCATAAAACTTGAGGGAAGAAGTAGATACGAACTACAAATTCAAATATAAAACGTCGGTAACGATAATCTGGGTGATAAAACCCTATACGTCACTTATTCGAGAAAACCCGAAAACAAACCGGTTCGCGCCAGCAAAACTCAAAACCACAAAATACCTCTGACGAATGTAAACAACGATTTTATTCCTACCTCAAGTTTTTTATCTACTCAACTTTTGAACAAGTGCTCTTCAAAATAGTTGCAATGACAAACAAAACAAACCACAGCTATTTGCTTAAAAAAAAATTGGACTTTAAGAGTGGAAAGTGGAAAGAACATTGGCCTTTAAAGCATAACGCCACGGTGCCGTTTTCCTTGGCTGGCGCAGTCGAATACGAGCAATTTTTCGTCGGCTGCAAACTATCCGGTTTTTTGACGATAAAAAATAATAATTTTTCAATAACTAAAAACCTTTGGAACGCCTCACGAATTTGCGTGTCATCCTTGCGCAGGAGCCATAATAATCCTCTTTGTATTGTTCCAATTTTAGCAATATATTCAGGAAAGGGCACCCAACGGTATTCGGCTGCGATGTACAGCGGTGAATTCATTCCCCTGAAAAAATCTCCCAAGCTAAGAAGAAGTCTGGCGTTTCCATCAGGAAGCCTAGCTAAAAGTAAACCAATACCAGGATTCACCACCGTCCTGGAATCAAAGTCGCATGGTGGCAAATCCGCCTCTGATCCACAAGGGCTGCGACTGCTTGTGGTGGCGAAGACCTGAGGCAGAACATGGCCAGGTTGAACTCGGGATTCCAGGGAACCACATCTGGAAACCAATGATCTGAACATGACCACGACCGCGTCCATATGGTTGTTCGATTCAAATCGCCACGGACACTATAAATCCACACGGAGCGTAATGGGTTAACAGATCATTCGGAAAAAAATGGGGAACTAACAATTGCATGACGCAGTCATCACTACCTAAAAAGTGTTTGTAAGCAATTTATGGCCACAAATTCCTATCTCTACATGATAATGAACTTTCCAAGCGAGAATGAAAACAAATTCAAGTAAAGCCATCGCCGCAAGCGAGCGAATCTAATGTGCTCAACGATTTTCTGTCTGATATAATATTAATTAACTGGGCGCATATGTCGCGCAATGGTTGAAGGCGCCATTGCGACACACGTGGAATTGATCCCCGCGCCCATGGCTCACCAAGCCTTCCATCCCTCCAGGGTCGGCAAATTGGTACCAGGCTTATCTGGGGGGGAAGCAGCACTGGCTCGATACATCGGTAAGCCATCGCGAGTCATTGTAAAGTTCAGATATGCATTTAATCACCTCCAACGACACTTAATGAAGTCGAATGCATGGTTCACCTCTCAGGTAATGATCAACGCCGAGAGCTTTATCCTTTGTCTTTTACCAAAAGAAAAAGTATAACTATACTATGAGATTCTACCTTTGCTTGGAACTGTATTACAAAGAAAACATTAAAACTACATGAAGAGAATTAGGCTATCAAACAGTAACGACAGTAACGAGACATACAGGTACACATGAGAAAAATGACACAAGCTTTCAGACAAAGGTTAATTTAACAACAGTATTACTTCACAAAACGAACATTAAGAAACATAAGTGGAGTTTTAAATGAGACTAATAGCTTGTCAGGTAACCCTCGTAATGAACTCCTAACAAGCCAGAAACCTTCCTAGTGATGGCATTACACATATTAGCCATGTGCTCCCGACCAGTTCCAAATTCCCATTACTATAACAGTTACCTTCAAAGTACTAGTAGAATGGGAGCACGAGCTTAACGGATTGACTAGCAGCACATCCACAAAACTGCGATAAACATGAGAATCGATTTGGAGGAAGTAAGACGTCACCGTCCGAAGGATGACGTGTCTTTTCGATTAGAGCGCAGTTGCGTTCGACACTTTTGCATTGTAAGAGTTAGTTCTTGAACTTAGTTAAACTCCATTCGTTTCTACTCAAGTCGACTTTTTGTCTTTCAGACACCTCTGTTGGTGTTAAACACTATACTCTCCAAGCTACTGGTATTAAAGAAATGGCTTATCGCGGTACGAGAGGTGGTTTTGTTTCTACTCTGCCTTCGTAGTAGTAAGTTAACTGTGATGAAATCAATACTTTAGGACCGAGTACTAGTACTGGATACGAGAGTAGTTATCTCGAACGTCACAACGACAATCTTGTTGAGGAGCTTTCTACGAAAGTCGCAGCACTCAAGAAGGTAAGATGCTCACTGCATCGCCTCGTTTTCTTGAGAAGTAGGAATCAGTTTTGTTTCTTAAGGGGTTTTCTTGCCTGGTTTTCTTCTTTTGCCAAACGGTATCTGGTATTATTTTCTACGTGAACACTTTTATGAGGTCAATGATGCTAGGTTTTGTAAATAGGTTTAGGTGTCGTTTGGTTAAGGTTAACTGATATCGCGAGTATGATATCATGTGATATCAGTGTGATGTCATCCAAAATTGCTGTGTCCGTTATACAACTACGGATCTCCTTCGCTGACGGTTCTTAGCCGACCGGCCCTAAGGTTGCTTGGTGCGTTCATAGGTAGTGGATGAGGAGATGAACACGAACTAGAAGTCACCTTGTACTTGCTGCAAAACACATGTGGATTCAGACGTTGAAAGAAATAGGGAAATTACATGGAAATATAGCCTTATCCTGTATCTGCGAACTTTATGTTCATACGTTCGTCACATATACCTAGCACCCAGGAGAGGTTCAATGACAAATTTATGGATAATTTCTTATTGGGCATCACAGAACGGCTAACTTTCAAATGTCCACGCAGGCGATGAATAACAGAACATCACCTGGTTCTAACTGGATAAGACCGAGCCCTTTAAGCTAATACTCATTAACATTGGCTTGACTTTTCACATTTTGCCTGTCAAAATCAAAAGATCATAAAGAATGGAACTGGACAGTGTTGTTGCACGAAAAATTAGTCTATGAGACGTTGAGAATTACCGCAAACGCTGCCTGCTTCCTACCGACTACAAACCACTCTATTTACACTCAAAAGGATTGCCACAACTGTGGATAGAGGACGGGAAAGTGAGCTTATTTTGAAACAGTGGGTGTTTGGTTTTTGTTAAGCTTGGGATCGAAACGGTAACCCTATGTGCATTATGATGTACCTCTAACACACTACACACGCATAAAACGCGCATAAGTTTCTGTACAAGTTTGCTAATGAGTTTTGCCTTCGTTGGAATAAAAGCTCGAGGCTCTATACCACTTCATTGTAAAGAGGTGACATGTCCATAGCATAACCTTACCAGAAAGGCTGTGTTAAGTTTTACTATTTAAACACCCTTCCCTTGTCTTTCTTGGTTATAGTCTTGAACAAAATAGGCTATCGTCAAATTGATGGTGATCGAAGGCTCATTGCGGTCGATTTCGTTTGGTGACGCTTTTTTCTTCAAGTCTAGTTCATTGGAAAGGGTTAGGCAATATATGAGAGAAGAACTTGAAATACAAGCCCAACTAGGAATTAAAGGTACGTTCAGCTACTCGCGTAACAACACCCTGCACCAGGCTCAAGTTTGCCAGAGAACAACATCCACGCGCGAATATTTTAATGTTTCAATTGTGAAGAAGAGAGGCACTTCTCAAGCGACTGCTCAAAGTGCAAACATGCAAAGAAAATCATGAAGAAACGAAGTCTTTTGCAGCAGTTACGGACTGATGAATCATCGAACGCCTAATTGCAGAGGTGCGTCCACAATTTTATGATGATAGTTCCACAGGTCTTGTGTTCCCTCCGGTCACCGGACGTATTAATCGGCAATTCTATGGAATTGATGAGAGTGATAAATTGTTCAAGTAACACGCCTAACTACACACATAATATTTTGACTGTATTCAGAAGTATTTTCTTCGGTTACTAAGCTAAAGTACTCGGAAATTTTCATTTCAAATTCGTGAAACTGTGAGGAATTAGTATTGTGTATGTCGCAGAAATTCGAGGATATTGGTATAATAATATCATGATGGGGAGACATATGTCTTCTAGCATAGTCTTGTGAAGAAAGCAGGCTTCGCGCTTCAAGATTTTCCTCATCCATTTTCCCCAATATGTCGTGCAGGTGCGCCTGTAGCGCAGTAGCCGGAGGCGCGCTGCAATATACATGGGACCGATTCTCATGCCATTGGCTCACCAAGCCTTCCATCTCTCCGGGATCGGCAAATTGGTAGCATACATGTCTGGGAGGATAGCAGCACCGGTCCGATACATCGGTAGGATACCGCGAGTCATTGTAATGGCCGGATATGCATTCAATCACCTCCAAGCAATGCTTAATGAAGTCGAATTCATGGCGCATCCCTCAGGGATTGATCAACGCCGAGAGCTTTATCCTTTTATCCTTTATTTCATGCAGAAATCGCCTGATGATCGTAATAGATAAGGGGCAGTTTTGTTCAACGTAGATTATTACATTCTGATTACGAAGTCCAACAGTGCTTTTTAGGTGACAATATCAATTGGAGAGGATGTTCGGGAACAGAATCGCTTATTGAATAGCATGGACGATGATTTTGATTCTTCTAAAGGACTTCTGTTGTCTACTATGAAGCGACTAGGAATTGTAAGCAGGGCAGGTGGTGAGTTCAGCCATCCAGTTCATTCTTTCATGATTGAATTAGATAGGTTATGGTTTAATTTATTATTACCAACTTCTTTTGCAAAAAGGAGGTAAGCTACTTTCTTTGTCTCATCTGTCGACCTGTATTTGGTGTTAAACTTACTTACTTTGATACTTGGATGGCTTGTTTTCACTGGTTGTGCTAGTTCCAGTGTAATTTCCATTGTTTCGAAGTTTTGCTAGGCTAGTCGTTGTAGTTTCCTGGAGTCCCGAGGTGAGCGAGGCCGAAGTCTGCCCCAGATCGTAACCACCATAGCCAGTTGCCGCCCTTGTGGATGAGAGGGAAACTTGCCACCATGCGACTAGTTTGACAACAGGACGGTGGTGGATCCTGGTATTGGTTTACTCTTAGCTGGGCTTCCTGATGGAAACGCCGGACTCCTCAGGTTGGGATGCTCTGATGGAGGATGAACCCCCGCTGTTTATCGCAGCCAGACATCCAGGAACATTTTCCAGCCATACTGAGGCGGTAGAGCGTTGGGAGGCTCAAGGAGGGTGTTCAATCAATTAGTCTTATTAAAAGGCTTCATGCTTCATGTGTTATACGTATACCTACATATACGTATGCGCTGAAATCAGTAGTTTAATGTTTTATTTCAGGAAAGAACCTATTGTGCTATTTGGTCCTATTCGCCCTATTCGTCTTCTTCGTCATATACTACTTAGCAAGGTAGACTTGTCTCGAAGCTGCATATGACCATGTCGTAGTTTTTCGGTGGTGTTCTATCTTTCGATAAATTTACTGTGTTGTTAGAGATTTATTTCTCGAGGCTACTAGAATGTTATGTTGTATCTTTGAAGTTTACTGTGATTTTATTAACAGCAGTGAATAAGTTGTTTATCTCTTTTTAGTTCCTTTTAGAAAGTTTTCATTCATTTGTATTCTAACATTCCTTCCGAAACATTTGTTATCCTAACGACACCATAGCAACGTTATTTTCTACACTCTTTTTGTTTAATTCTAGTTGGTTTCTTCTATGATACTTGGTTTTGGAATAAACTACTTACCTACTTACCCATGTACAAGTCAGAACTGCCCGTTGTCGCGAGTAATGCGAGCCCCAGCACATTTCCCATAGGTTTCCCTGCCTCGAATGCTCTTCTGTGCTCATGGTTTGCTATGAGTGTGCTGTCAGTGCGAATATCATATTGTGGTGTATAAAGAGTTCTCAACTGCGAATACAAGTGAGTGATTTTAACTGCAAACATATTCTTTCATTCTGTCGGTGGTTGTTCTGGAGGGCCCTTTCGTCCTTTTCCGCCATCTGTCCTTTGTTTTTCTCAGCATATGACTACTCTGTCTATCTGTCTCGCTCTCAATATGTAATCTCCTGGATCTCTAGTATTCGAAAGGTGCAGAGTATCTGAGCTATTCATTCCGACTAGACCTATTGAATGCCAGTAAAGCTTCAGAACACATTGTTCAAGCCCTCCCTGGATGGTGAGCGGTAACGTAGTTGAAGTATTACCACACTTTTCTGCAACGTAATAGAGCACTGAGAGGATTAAAATGGACAGGGTGAGCGCGGAGTCCTGAGTTCGTTAGTGGGGCCAACACATATATGTGAGTCTCGGTTGTAACGATTACAGCTTTCCTTCATTTGTCTAGTGTTTCCTACATTTTATTCTCTAAACGAACGCCCATGTCACACCTGCGTGGTGGCCTTTGTAATCAAACCAACATTCAGTTCGATTTGGTTAAATTTCCGGCGTTGCTTTTTTTTTGTTTTACATGCAGTTCTATTCTTATGATCGCTTCATTGAGTTTGTTAAGCAGTGTGTCGGCTGTGGCTGTAAAGAGCTTTGGCGAGATGGTGTTGTTTGCCGAATTCCTTCTACGTCTGGTAAGCGGTCGGCCGAGAACTTTTTTTTTGTTGTGCGAAAGCAAAATAAAGAGAAAGGGCAACGGTGAGCTCCAAGGCTTCGACAGAAGCCAAATGACCGTGCTAAGAGGCGTGGCTAGATCCGAGCGAGTGGCGTGGGTCGCGGGGTCACGTCACGGGTCGCAAGGTCTCGCCCCTAAACAATGCGTCGTGCCTGGTATTATGCCCGGTGGTGTATCTCGTGGTAATAGTTGTCGTGTTTGCTGGCGTGCCCGATGGCTAAGATTGGATATGAATGTAGGACACTCAGCACCATCAGAACACATAAAGAATAAAGTTGCAATAGAGAACATTATTTTCTATTAGATAATGTTTATTTGGTCGACTTGTCGACACTCCGGCCCGGCTAATTTCGCCATCGCTTTTGGTTCGTTTGTCGTGGATGAATAGTCTTCTACATTAGTTGAGTACATTAAATAGTAACCAGAAAAGAAATATTATCAGTCTGGCCATAAATTTGAATATAGACGAAACGGTCCTGCTAAGGACGTTAAGATGCAGCCATAGATGAGTCCTATCAGCAATAGCAGGCAGAATAATGCAATTATTATTAGGCCCGATTTTCGTTCGAAGATTCGAATCGGTCGTAAAATGGAAGAGATCTCTTTTCACCGTGCAAGAAAAACAAGATAAGTTGTATATAACTAGAATATTTCGAGTAAAATCCTTTCCTCATACAGCTGGCAGGCAAAATAAGACATAGCCGAAGTCTACGAATTGCTAGGGACTTGAAACTTGTGCACAAACGGTTTCGTTTCTCCAAACAAGCAATTTAGACCACATCTCCACCGCCACCAAGGAGTTGCTAAAGAAGAGAAATGAAGCTTAATCCTGCAGTAATACGGCTATCACAGCTCGCTATAATTCTCTGCTGCCAAGAACCTTTGTAGTACGATTTTCAACGCCATAAACAAAAAAAAACTTCTGGAAGCAGTTCACAAACGAACTAGTTCTAAGATATGTCGCATGGACCTCAAGGAATACAATGTTCCTGTTGTAACGACTCGCTGTTGAATGAATATCGAGTAGTCAAGAAGACTCGGTCGGATTAGCTGTTCGTCTTTGCTCGCGCCACGCGGGGCTTTTCGTGAATGGCAGTCACAATGCTCAAAGTTGGGTAATTGAACCCTTGTATATATACGTGTATATATATACGAACTTGTATATATACGAACTGCTTCCAGAAGTTTTTTTTGTTTGTGGCGTTGAAAATCCTACCACAAAGATTCTTGGCAGCAGAGAATTATAACCAGCTGTGATTGCCGTATTACTGTAGGATTAAGCTTCAGTTCTCTTCTTTAACAACTCCCTGGTGGCGGTGGAGATGTGGTCTAAATTACTTGTTCGGAGAAACGAGACAGTTTGGGCACAAGTTTCAAGTCCCTAGCAATTCGTAGACTTCGGCTATGTCTTATTTTGCCTGCCAGCTGTATGAGGAAAGGATTTTGCTGGAAATATTCTAGTTATATACAACTTATCTTGTTTTTCTTGCACGGTGAAAAGAGATCTCTTCCATTTTACGACCGATTCGAATCTTCGAACGAAAATCGGGCCTGGTACAGATTTATAGGAATGTGGAGATGTCAAGCACGCACCATTTTCTGATTGTAAAGAAATGTCTAAATCTTACCGTTAGATAAATTATCACGTCCATCCTTATCAAAAAATAGATTTTCACCCAAAAGGCAGGAGTGAACATGAGCTTAAGAGCGTTCCAGTTTTGGTTTCATATCTTAAGTTTTTAAACCCCGAATTTACCCATTTATTTTATAGTACTTTTCATCATAGCATTTCTTGCATTCGATTCGCCTTACATGCATCAACCACAAAGGTCTTCAAACTTCTGCCTGTGGGGTCGCCTGCTATTTGAGGGTTTCCTTTTCGTCATAAATGTCGACGAATGCTTCACAAATCGATTTTCCCTCGAGTCCGCGCTGGAACGTTTACACTTCAATTGTAGGAAGTGAGGTATTTTCAAAGAAGTCTGATACCGATTTTTTGGCTCCAGACGAATAGGAATCGCAATGATCCTGATATTGGTGTTCAACTAGCACCGTGCTGGATACTCATTTACTAGATATATTGGCAATGACTGCGGCCAGTTGGTTAGTTAAAACGATAAGTAAAGGATAAAACTCTCGGTGTTGATCAATCCATGAGTGGTGCGCCATGCATTGGATTTCATTTACCATCGTTGGAGGTAACTGAACGTATATCTGGCTATACAATGAATCGCGGTGGCCTACCGATGTATCGAGCCAGTGCTGCTATCCTCCCAGACACGTCTGGTACCAATTTACCGACTCGGGAGAGATGGAGGGCTCGGTGGGTCAAAGGCGTGGAGATCGATTCCATGTGTATTGCAAGGCGCCTTCGACCACCGCAGTACATGCGCTCCGTGAAGTCCAGTGTACTCGTTTTTCTTGGTCATCCTTATGTTGTTTTACAACTTATCAACGCGTATGAATGCCTATACTTTACAGTACATTACTCATTAATATGCAATGCAGTCCATGCGTATCCTTGATTTTTTCAAGTCCCGAATTACTTGACCGATGTGTAGAGAAGTGGCACTCAGGAAAACATCGTCAAGAAATCTTTTTCAAACCGTGGTTGTTAATCTCCAAGCATGGATTTAGTGCATTATTTCGGATATCGTCAGTGCATTTCCTCGGACATTTAACCAATATAATAACTAATATAATATATAGTATTAGACATGATTTGAATACTTGGTTTTGGATACCTTATCCAGTTTTGTCGCCTTGTAAAGGTGAAGGCCCGGAAATATTCTGTAGTGAGTAGGTTAAGGGGATAGATTAATGGTGAACGTTCTATCTTTTAAAATTTATTGGTTGGAGTAAGGTGTAATGTTCGATAGCAATGATTTCACGATGTACTTTGAGTTTGTGGATGGAAATACGTTAATTATCCGATCCGATACAAATTGTTATTTGGTAAATTTCAGGACGCTCTCTCAAATTCGTGGCAATATATGTTGCTTATCTAGTAATAATGAATGATACGATATTAGTGATAGACGAGCTAAGGATTTTATTCCGTTGTCAAGAGTTTGGCCATTTAGCAGAAAATCTGGCTTTGATGACGCTCTCCACCAATCCACGGGGAAGGCTGTAGCTCGACTATCGCCAAAAGTGCAAGGAGATTCGTCTCGACCAGCATTCTAGGACATTCATAAAGAAGACGAAATCCTCAAGCAGCAGCCGAAACAACACGGGAATTGTTCGAAGACGTTCGTGGGCGGTGAATGCGGAGGAAATGAATCGAGTGTAAGAATTGCTGAGATCCCCACTGTAGATGTGAAAATGTTTCATGTAAATAAATGTGAAGTACTAACGATGATAATCATTGTGGCTGTCTTATCAATAAAAGTTTTTCGAACCAGTGATTGTGATATAAAATTCATATAGAACGAAATCCATGGGAGAATCATCAGCCGAAGAGTGTATCCGTCTTAGAGGAGACATCTTCTTGACTGTTATCGTAAGAGAATTGTTCAGCTTTCTTGTTTTATTATTATACTCAGTGATAGTAATAAGTAGAATGAGAACGAGGGTGGTAAATTAATTATGCAACCAAGTTTTCGCTTTTTTTTGAGAACCTACTTGCAGATGTCTTCAAAGGAGTTTACTTGAGCTGTTTTTAAGCGGGACAATTTAGTCATGGAAGGTTGTAGGTTGGATATAGTGTTGACACAGGGTGCGTTGGACGTGGCTTAAGTTCGCATTAATTCTAATCAAACTGTCAGATTTTTTCTTCCATTACTTGAGTAGGATTTATGTTCTCGGTCTAG